TAAGATTTATAATCGGTGGTTGAAACATCATGATGATGATTCTTCGAATCCATATTTACGCTCCGGAGAGTCCGCAGGACAAGGAGGACATCATCGATCTGCGGCGGCTCTTCGAGGAAGAGCCCTACATGGAGGAGGAGATTTGGGTACTCGGGGAGATTCGGGCACCCAATGGCATGTGTAATGGGGAGCACAGATGTAAGTATTTTTTTTATAAATCTTAACTCTCTCTAACTACACTTGTATTAATCCTTTAATACCTTTTTTGCTGTTACAGGAGCGGCCGTCCCTTTGACCCGACTCCGTCTGACCCCCCACTCCCGCACCCCCGCATCCCCCAATTTTATTATATTTTATTATATTTTAAATTTTATATTTTATATTTTATTTTATTATATTATTACTATTATTCTTATTATAATCATAATTTGAAGTACACACACACACACAAATATGTTAAATACACACACACATTTTTAATAAATTGTATATTTTAATTTTTTTTAAAATCTAATTATTTATGCGCCTCTCCTTGCGTTCCCATTCCTGTGTTTCTCTCTCGCGCTAGTTATCACGATATCGTTCTCTCTCGTGCGTTAATCGTAAGTCTATCTTCATCTTTCGCGCTTAGAATAAGTAATCTCTCACGCTGACACAAAAATGTACAGAGTTAAATAAATTATATATTTTATATATTTGTAAAAAATGTGATTATTTACGCGCCTCTCCTTGCGTCCTCATCTCTCTTACGTACATCTCTCTTATGCTAGTTGTAAGTATTGCGTTAATCTCGATATTATCGTTGTGTATTATTTTGTACACGTCGTATTCGCGCTATCGTTCTCTCTTGCACGCGCTAGTTGTAAGTCTCGCGGTATTGTTCTCTCTCTCGCACGCGCTAATTGTAAGTCTCGCGTTATTATCGTTCTCTCTCGCACGCGTTGTCTTCGCGCTATTGTTCTCTCTCACACGTTGCGTTATCGTTCTCTCTCGTACGCGTTATCTTACAATATTATCATTCTCTCTTTCTTTTGATATACTCGTTGCTCACTTACCTTTGCGTCGTCCTTCTCCCACCTATGCGTCGTCCTTGTCCTACGATGACGCCATCCTTGTCGCACTCGTAGCACTATCCTTTTCCCACACGTAACGTTGTCCTTCTCACACCACCGTCTTCTTTCCGCGGATCCCCCTTCACTGCGCGGACCCCCTCGTCCATCGCTCGCGCCGAGGATCCCCCTTCACTGCGCGGACCCTCTCGTCCATCGGCCGCGCCGCGGATCCCCCTTCACTGCGTGGACTTCCTCGTCCATCGGTCGCGCCGCGGATCCTCCTTCACTGCGCGGATCCCCTCGTCTATCGCTCGCGACGCGGATTCCCCTTCACCTCGCGGACTCCCTCATCCATCGCTCGCGCTACGGATCCCCCTTCCCCGCACGTGACGCCACCCACCGCGCACCACAATTCCTCCTTCCCCGCGCGTGACGTCACTCCACCGCGGTTTCCCTCGCGCCTCACCCCCCTGAGAGGACCTGGGTTAGAATCCCCATAGTTTTACTACTTCCGGCTAATCCTATGAAGGATTGGATATCCTTCACCTTTTTCGGCGTCGGAAATTCCTTTATTGCCGTTAACTTCGACGGGTCTGGAGATATTCCGTTTTCGGAAATAATATGACCCAGATATATTACCTCCTTGCGTAAAAATTCGCATTTATCTGGCTGCAATTTTAAATGAGTTTTTCGCAATCTTTGCATTACTTCTTTTAATCGCTTGTTGTGCTCTTCTAAACTTGATCCGTATATCACAATGTCATCAAGGTAGACCAGGCATCTAAGTCCTTGTATTCCCATTAATACTGAATTCATCAGCCTTTGAAAAGTCGCTGGTGCATTCCTTAATCCAAACGGCATTCGATTAAATTCATAATGTCCGTAGGGAGTTGAGAAAACTGTTTTATTTTTATTCCTTTAAGCCATTGGGATCTGGTGGTATCCTGACGCTAGATTTAATGTACTGAAATATTTTGCATTTCCCAGTTGGTCTAGAATATCAGTAATATTAGGCAACGGGAATGAGTCGCCTATAGTTAATTCATTTAATTTCCGAAAGTCTATGACTACTCGAAGTTTCGGTTTTCCTGATGCATCTGCTTTCTTTGGCACTACTAATAAAGGTTCCATTGATTTGTGCTTGTCCTGATTTCATCTTGCAGCATTTCCTGTATTTGCCGATTTACTTCCGCCTTATGCTTCTTGGGTAATCGGTATGGTTTCATTAATCGGCGCGGTGTCGGCACGCGTGCTTATCTCATGTTCGATCGTTGCGGTGCATGTCAGTGGTTCTCCTTCCAGATGGAATATATCACTGTATTCTTCGCAGATTTGTTGAAGAGTCTGCCTCTCTTATTTATTTAAATGTTGAGTGCCCAGTGATTGTCAAATTCTCTGACTGCGTGAAATATTCGATTGAATTTTCTTTCCCGATTTTATTAAATTTATATCGTTTGTTGCGTTGTTTTCTAAATTTTCTAAGGCAACTATAGGAGTTGTCATCTCCACAATTTTGTCAGTGGCATTTATTATGCTGATGGGGCACGAAAAATTTTCGGGCTCCACTAGATAACTTCCAATGTACACTCCGGGTACGGCTTCTTCCGTTCGAACTATTCCTATTTGATTTCGATTAGTTGCGACTCGTACTATTGTCTCGCTATGTGGTTTTAAAGTTATGTTTTTGCAAGGGTGTAGTTTTATTGTCGCGTCTTTTATTTTAATTTCGTTCATATCGTAATCGCACTTCACTTTTTGCTTCTTAAGGAAATCCAATCCGAGAATTCCTTCATGTTCTATGGCTGTGTCGTCCTTTATTATATAAAAGGTATGTTTAATTTTATGTTTATTAATGTTAATTGTGGCGTACATCTTTCCTATCGTATATACTTTATAACCGCTTATTCCTATTAACGCGATCTTCTTTTTATAAATTAGTGCGTTATCTTTTAGATTTCTTAATTTTAATAGCGAAATTGTCGAATCGTCATATAGCATGTTTATTTCGTTATTTTTTGCTTCTTGTATAAGCAATGTAATTTGTAGTAATTCTTCTTTCGACGGTGCACGTACATCCTTGACATGTGATATGCGATACTCTAAGGCAGGTCGGGGTTGCTTCTCTCTCGCTTCTTCCTGCTCCTCTTCTTCACTATTGCTTGCAGAGTCCGTGCTTTTCTTACGTAATCTATTCGCACCCTTTTTCTCGCGTGCGTTATCTTTATAATTAGTTTTATTTAGTTGTTTAAAATTTTTACTATTTATGTTCGGTCGTCCGTTTAGATTCCAGCATTCTTCGCGGCTGTGTCCGGATTTTTTGCAATGTTTACAGAATTTATTCACGGTATTTATACTTGTTGATTTTTCAGGTTTAGGCAATATGAATTTATTACTTCGGCTCTCTCGTCCGTAATGACCATTTTTTCCGCATTTATAACATTGTATATTAGCGTTTTTATTTGTCCGTGTGTATTTAACATCGGATTTATTTTTATTAAAGAAGCCGGGTGCTCGTGTTGCAGAGGGTACGATAAGCTTCTCTTCTGCGCTCGCTCCACTTATCGCTTTTTGGAGCGTGGTATATCGCTGCGATCGTACGAGTATTTTTAATTCGTCGCGAAGCCCAATTTAGAAATGTATTAACGCTTGTTTTTTAATTGTTTCTTGTATTGCTTGTTTAAATGTAGGAGGTCGTTCCTCTCCTTCCACCATTGATTTGTACAATTTCATTGCTAAAGTATCTACTCGTTGTCCGAATGCGTGTACGGTTCGACGGTCCGTTTTTGTTTCAATGAATTAAATTCGATTTGTAAATGCGTAGTGCTTTGCTTCATTTGATAGCAAATTTCGAGTTGTGTTTTTAATTCTTCAAATGTTTGGATGCTTCGCGTTTCGAAATCTTGCATGGCTTTACCTTTTAATTTAGTATATAAGATTGCTTGAATTAATGATTCTTCGTCCGCGGGATTAATATTTTGTACCGCGTACGTACAGCCGTTCAAGAATTCCTGTAATTTATGTCGCGTCGTTTCGTCAAATTCGGGAATCATTGTTCGCGCTTCTTTTAATGGTACATAGTGCGGGGCTGCGCTGCGTCGGTTTCGGATATCGCATTGAGTGCGTCCGTACGTTACGTCGAGTGGGACAGTGTTTGCATTTACGCGCTCGCATGCGCTCGATTTCTCTATCGACGGCTTCGTTATCCATATTTGTTTGCGCACGTGGCTCGAATAAACTAATATCGATGGATATCGGCGAATAATTTCTTTTTACTGTACCGCGACAGTAGGGAGAATAGGTCGTTTCTAATTCAATTTTTCCATGAGTGCAAGAGAGAGCGCCGTAAGAGCGAGAGAGATAGAATATCTGAGGGGCAGGGTGACGGCGGCGCGGGTGAACAGGGGGGTAGGCAGGGATGCAAGATTATCTCCGCAAGCAACATGCCACACGTAGTGGAGAGGGTAACGGAGATGTGTGCGTAAGCGTACGTGTGAGCTCGGCGCTTCGGCGAGCTTCGGCTAAAAGAAGAGGACAGAATACAGTTTTTTGTCTCCTTCTTATCAAGCAAGCAACGAAAACAACGGGCGACGCGCGACGCGGAACTCTGCTGAGCGAGCCTCGCTCTTCGATATTTCAATGTTTCTCTTCCACAGCTTTTCTTTATGTTTTTTATTTTTGTTACAAATATATATAAATATGTATATACATAAACGTATAATATATTTATAATATATATATATACATATATATATATATATAATTGGATAAATAAAATTTAATATAAAAAAATAATTTACCATTTTGCACCTGTTGTTCCTTCTCTTCTTATTGCTGCTGCTCCTGCTGCTGCTGTTGTTGCTGTTGTTGCTGTTGATGCTGCTGCTGCTGTATATACAATTGCAGCTGCTGGTGGAACAATTGTTGTTGATGCAACATTTGTTGCATCAACTACCGCATATCTGGCTCTTGTAGAGCGAGCGCGCCCATTTCTGCATTGATTTCCTCTAAAATTTAGAAAAATTAAAAACATGAGTTTCTTAGTATTTTTTTATACAGTAAAACATTTTATGTTAAATTTAACATATTTCACATGTTCCAATTTATTCACTCTAATTTTAATGTTAATTTAACAGAAGGCAAATATGTAAATAAATAACAAGTAATGTGTAAAAAAATTAACACAAAAATGTAACATTTGAACGTTATTGTGTTGTTTTTAACTCTTAGAAACGATGAATATTAACTCAATGTAGAAAAGTCAAAATAACACAACGACAATATGTTACATTAACATAAAAGTATGTTAAAAATTTAACACAAAAATTTCTACACAAGAAAAATCTACAGAAATACAAAATGTTTTTTACCGTGTACAAATATATAATGATTTACTTACGAGCCATTATGTTGACGTTCAGTTCAAATTCGTTTATCGCCGTTCTTTCGTGTACTGAGAATGAGGCACACTCGGCATTTGTTTATATACGTGCCTTGTGAAACCTTGGTGTTCAAGAGACTATCACGATCCCGATTGTGAGTTATTATTTAAAATTTTTATATATCTTTATCCTTTTGACTTTATCTTCTTTTATTCACTCTTCTTTAATTTTTTGTTTCTGCTTATTTTTTATTTCATAATGTGCGATGAATTAAAAAAAAATCTAAGCGAAGCTTTTCAGAGTATTGGCTCAATGATGAGCGTATTAATTGTTGGATACGTAAAGTACCTTTTGATGAAAGCTTATATCATTGCACAATATGCAATAAAAATATTTCGTGCAATACGCATGTTTTGAGACATGCGAATTCTGCGACTCATAAAAATAATATTAAAGAAAATAATTCATCTCTATGCACTGATGAAAATAATAATAAAAATGTAGATAAAAAAATATCCGAAAAATACAAGTTTCAACAACAGTGGCTAGAGATAGAATTATTTAAGCCATGGTTGTAAAAAATATCACACGATAGAAATTCATTTTTTTGTTTATTTTGCGATAAATCTATGAAAGCGGATTTATCCAAAATATATCGTCATGTAGAATCCAAAGCACATTTAGAAATATGTAAAATTAAAACAGAAACAAAGAATATAACAAACGAAAACGTAGCAAATTATTCACTTTCGTTTAAAGAGCGAAAGAAAATAGCAGAAATTAGATATGCTGCATTAATTGCTGATAAAAATATTTCGCATCAAACGGCAAAAGAATTCCTCAGTTTTTTCCAACATATAGGAGAAGATCCTAATGTGTTAAAAAGCATGAGCATGAGCCGAACAAAATGTAAAAACATTATTACAAATGTTTTGTGCCCGGTCGAAACAGATCGTGTCGTCAATAAGCTTCAAAATACAAAAGTTACAATTTTTATTGACGAAACATCTGATGTAACAAATAATAAATGGATGACTTTTCTTGTTCGATACGTTGATCCAGAGACATTAGATATTCGCTCACAATTAGTCAAATTAATCGATATTGATGCCAAAGATTCAAGCGCAGAAAAGTTGTTTGAGGCATTTAATGTGAAATGTGGAAATTACAGATACCGTTTTTAAATATCGTAGCCTTATCATGCGATAATGCATCTGTTATGACAGGAAACATTTATCGTTTCAAAAAAAATTGGAAAAAATTTGTCCACATTTATTAACATTTTCATGCCCATGCCATTCTTCTGGATTAGCAGCGCATGCAGCCTGTTCTAAAATGCCTTCATATTGCGAGGAATTTCTAAAAAAAATTGCTACTTATCTCAATAGCAGTCCAAAACGTACAGCTATTTTTCGTGAATTTTGTGAATGTTTTCAAGAAACAAATCGCAAAATATTGAAATTATGTGATACGCGCTGGCTTTCGCACTATTTCTGCATCGAAAGGCTTCTTGAATCTTGGAATACAATTAAATACTTTCTTACTGAAATGATTGTAAGTGAAAAAACAAATTCTGGAGAATATCTATTGTCTATGATGGACAACGTAGAGATGAAAGCTTATTTCCTGTTTTTAAAATACGTTTTAAATTTCTTTAATGCATTTAATGCATTATTTCTTTCAAGCATTAGAAACAAGGATTCATTTATTACATCCAAAATCTAGAAACTTTCTTTTCCAAATCTGTCGAAATTTTTTAAAAGAAGAATATTTAAAACCATTTTCTACAAATATTATATTTTCACTAAAAGAAAATCAAAAAGTTATAAATGAAATTATTTTGGAATCAGAATGTGAAGAATATCTAAACGAATTAACACTTAAAGGTCACATAAACATAGTTAAAATTACAAATATTGAAAAAAGCTCTCTTCGAATTTAATAATGAAATGGAAGAACATAGGCAATAGAGAGCAAGTAAATAAATAAATTATTAAAGATCGAGTACAAGTAATAATAATTTAATAAAGTAAACTATAATTGATATAAACATGTTAAGTACGATATAAATAATTAAAAATAATAATAAAAGAAATGTACGGTACGGACGTTTCTGGTTCTTGTTTTGAGCCTTCTTCAGCGCAATGATGTAACATAAAAATTACAAATAATAATGTGGTGTAGGAACCATAGAAAAATTGTAATGATAAGTGTTATAAAATCAAAAATCGATGTCGCATAGACGCAAAGTTAATAGACGTTTATCAAAATAATAGATCTCCATGGCGAGAGATATAAAGAACCTCATTGTGAGAGTTAATTAGATGCAGAACAGAAACTTGACAACAGTACCAAATGCAGCCTGAAATTGGCAACATCAAAAATAAATCACTTAAATAATGTGAGGAGACTAATAATATAAGTACTTACAGAGAAACTGTTCTACGATAATGAAAATGTTGAAAAAAACAACAAGGTTCAACATGAAGATCGGTTACTGTCAAAAATGTTACAGAGACGGCCGATATATATACTAGAGCATGACTTTCATATTTTCGGAAGCTTGTTTATAATGTCATGATATAAAGACGGTAAATTTTCTGTGTCTGTCTGTAAATTCAAACCATTCCTTTGTCTCTTAATATGCAGCATTTCGGAAATAAGCCTTCTATTATAGAATGGAGTTTCATCCAAGACTTGGACGTCATTCCAACAAAAATTATGATCGCATTGTAATCTGTGATTTGTGACGACTAAGCGAGTTGCATGATTCCTATTAATCTGCGATCTATGTTCAGAAATTCTCGTCTTCAACATTCTCGAAGTCTGACCAATATATGAAGCATCACAATCGGAACAATTAATTTTATAGACTACATTTGTTTTGCAGTTAGAAGGAATATGGTCTTTATGTACTTTGATAAATTTATTTAATTTGTTTAAGCTAATGTAGGATAGCTTGACGTCCAAGTTCTTAGTGATGCCCATAAATCTATTATTTTGATAAACGTCTATTAACTTTGCGTCTATGCGACATCGATTTTTGATTTTATAACACTTATCATTACAATTTTTCTATGGTTCCTACACCACATTATTATTTGTAATTTTTATGTTACATCATTGCGCTGAAGAAGGCTCAAAACAAGAGCCAGAAACGTCCGTACCGTACATTTCTTTTATTATTATTTTTAATTATTTATATCGTACTTAACATGTTTATATCAATTATAGTTTACTTTATTAAATTATTATTACTTGTACTCGATCTTTAATAATTTATTTATTTACTTGCTCTCTATTGCCTATGTTCTTCCATTTCATTATTAAATTCGAAGAGAGCTTTTTTCAATATTTGTAAAATTACGCCGGCTGAAATATGCGTTACAGATCAGATTCGTTTTTCTCTTATATTGATATTAAATACAGCCACAAGACCACTAAACTACTAAAATCATGGATTAAGCTTAGGAAATCTATTATTTCCAACAGAATCAAAGTTAATTTTTTGCGACGATGTATTGCGTATAACATCTTTCCATCACATATAGACCGATTACTGTCAAATTTCAAATTCTCTTATAATAATTATAGATCGTACGTGAGGTTATAAGTGACGCGAGTGAAGTGCGATGCGGTGAAACGAATTAATGAGAAACCGCAGCAAAAAAAAGAAGAAACGAAATAAGAACGTGTGATTGTGCGGGCTCACGAATCCGGTTGCGATGAGTCTGCCCTGGCGTTGTCTCCTGGCAGGATGATCTTCGCGAGTGGCCGAGTGAACTCCGAAGATGCGGTGCGGACGGTGACGACGCGTGTGATTCCGTCGTCTCCTGGGTGCAGTGCCGTGATGCGGGCGAGTGGCCATCTCGTCGGAGGCGTGATCTCCGATCGCAGCAGGCACAGATCGCCGATGCTCGGGCCGGCTTCGTCCTTGGTCTACTTTGGTCGTGACGCCAAAGTGCTGAGATACTCGCGCGTCCACCGTTCCCAAAAGTGGTCGCGCATTTTTTGAAGAAGCTGCCACCGAGATAGAGCGTTGTCCTTCTCGGACGTGAGCGACGGAGGAACTCAGGAACGGCCACGAGGGGGGCGCCGATGATGAAGTGCCCTGGTGTTAGCGCCGCCAGATCGTCGGGATCGTCCGTCAGCGGCTGCAACGGACGCGAATTTAGGCACGCCTCCACCTGAGTGAGGAGGGTCGCCATTTCCTCGTAAGTGATGGTGGCTTCGCCGATGACCCTTCGGAAGTAGTGTTTGGTGGATTTGACGGCGGCCTCCCATAGTCCGCCGAAGTGTGGTGCTGCGGGGGGGTTGAACCTCCATCTCACGCCGTCGGAAGCTGTTGCGTGAATTATCCGACGGCCGTCGGAAGAGGAAGCGCAGAACAGCTCCCGCAGCTCACGGTCAGCTCCGACGAAGTTCGTGCCGCAGTCGGAGAAGACGTCGCTGCAGAGGCCTCGCCGGGAGACGAAGCGGCGGAAGGCAGCCAGGAACGCCTCGGCCGTGTAGTCCGTGACTGCCTCCAGATGGACCGCCTTGGTGCTGAGGCAGACGAAAACTGCGATGAAGCCCTTGGATGCCTTGTGGCCTCGTCCCTTGCTGGCCCGAATGAGGATAGGGCCGGCGTAGTCGACCCCGGTGCGCAGGAACGGGCGTGCAGGAGTCACTCGTTCCCGAGGCAGATTGCCCATGAGTGGTTGCGGTGCGGCGGCTCTCCACCGCGTGCAGGTGACGCATCGGTGGATCGCCCGCTTGACGACTGCTCGACCACGTGGGATCCAGACTCGTTGACGGAGCAACCCAAGGGTGAGCACTCCTCCGTGCAGGGTCCGCCGGTGGCAGGAATCCACCATCAAGTGAGTCAACCTTGACTCCGGTGGGATAATGCTGGGATGCCGCTCGTCGTGAGACAGGATGGCGTTCTTCAGTCGTCCTCCGACTCGCATTACACCGCTGTCGTCGAGGAACGGACTCAGCTTGGTGAGAGGACTTCTGGCTGGCAAGGCGCGTCCTTTGCTGAGTGTTGTGATCTCGCCGAGGAAGTGCAGAGTCTGTGTGATGCGAATCCAGTGAAGGAGTGCGTCTTCGATCTCGCAAGACATGAGTGAGAGTGCGGCGTCAGCGGTGGTGCGAGATCTCCGGGTGCCGGTCCGTCGCCATCGAAGACACCAGGCTGTCACTCTGAGCAGTCGGTGCAATGACGAGAAACGGAGCAGGAAGGCCGACTCGGAGACGTCCTTGACAGCCGCCGAGAGCGAGGCGACGGCCCTTTGCTCCGGCACAGCAGCGTTGAGCAGGGCGCCGTCGTTGTTCGGCCACCTTGCTTGGTCCTCTAAAAGCCAGGATGGTCCCGTCCACCACAGAGGATGACCGACCAGGTCGCTGGGCAGAACTCCTCGGGAGGCGCAGTCAGCTGGGTTGTCCTTGCCCGGCACATGTCGCCACCGCGCCTCGGGTAGCCGCTCCTGGATCAGCGACACTCTGTTGGCCACGTAGGTCTTCCAGCGGGAGGCGTGTCCGTGGATCCAGTGAAGAGTGACCCTGGAGTCCGACCAAAGGAAGACTGGAGCTGAGGACAAACTTAGCAGAGTGCGCGTGTGAACGACGAGGTTCGTCAAGAGGGCGGCCGCGCATAGCTCGAGTCTCGGCAAGGACACGGGCTTCACCTTGCGCGACCTTGCCCTTAGCGGTCAGCAGGTGGAGTGTGGTGCCCCTTCCAGTGGAGGAGCGGAGGTACACCACGGCGGCGTACCCTCGCTCCGATGCGTCGGCGAATCCGTGTAGTTCGACGTGTGAGTGCGGACCGTCGCTGCCGAGTCAACGAGATACCTTTATCTCGTTGAGGCGCGGAAGTTGCGAGAGCAGGTTCCGCCAAGCGAGCGTGTCCGCTGATGGAAGTGGAGTGTCCCAGTCGATCTTCTGGAGCCAGGCGGACTGGGGATCTTGGCCCGCATTGTGACCGGGGTGATCCAGCCGAGAGGATCGAACATTCGTGCGGTTTCGGACAGGACACGCCGTTTTGTAAGTTCGTCGAAGTGACGTGTCGGTTGGGAAAATGTGAAGTGGTCACTGGCCGGGTGCCAGTGAAGACCCAGTGTTGTGTGACTCTCGTGTGACCACGAGTGAGGTGAGTGGGTCAGCCGGTGCTCGTGCGGAACGCCGTCCAGGATGTTGAGGTGGTTGGCCACCCATTTCCGAAGAGGAAACCCGCCCGCCATGCAGAGGCTGCGGAGCTCCCGTTGCGCTGCGGTGGCCTCCGAGAGGGTGCTCGCGCTGGTCACGACGTCGTCCACGTAAGTATCGCGGCGCAGCGCGACAGCTCCTTGCGGAAATCGGTGACCTTCGTCGTCGGCGAGCTGGTGCAAGGTCCGTATGGCGAGGAATGGCGCGCACGCCAAGCCATACGTGACCGTTCGCAAGCGGTATTCGCGGATGTCGTCAACGGCACGGTGCCGTCAAAGTATCCGCTGATGATCGCGGTCGTCTGGATGAACGAGAATTTGGCGGTACATTTTCTCAATGTCCGCCAAGAAGACGTAACGGTGCCAGCGCCAGCGCAGGAGTACGTCGGCGAGAACTGGCAAGAGATTGGCACCAGTCAGCAGACTGGTGTTGAGCGAGGTGCCCGAGGTCGTGAGCTGTGAGCCGTTGAACACGACTCTGAGCTTAGTGGTGGTGCTCGTTTCTCGCAACACTCCGTGATGCGGTAAGTAGCATCTTGCAGTATCTTCTTGTTGTGATGATGTGGTTACAGCTTCCATGTGTTGCAGGTCTTCGTAATCCTTCATGAAGCTGCGGTAGAGGTTGCCGAATCGAGCGTCCTTGTCGCAGCGGCGCTCCATGGCATGGAGCAAACGCTCGGCCGGCCGACGGGTTCCTGACAGAGAGGGTGGAGCTCCGGAGAAGGGAAGCCTCACAATGTAACGTCCGGCGGTGGTGCGTGAGTGCTCGCGGACGAAGATGTCCTCGCATCTTCTCTCCTCCGGGGTAAGAGCGACGGGAGCGGTATTCTCCTTCTCCTGCTCCCAGAAGAGCTGCACCAAGTCGGTCAGCTGGCGGTCTATGGTGCATTGGTGAGCGGCATGGCTACTCTGGGCCGTGGCTCGGTGTCCTCCCGACAGGATCCACCCGAGAGAGGTCTTCTGCGCGATGGGCTCGTCTTTGCATCCCTTGCGGAGTCCATCTTGAAGGATGGCGGAATAGACATCCGCACCGAGCAGTATCTCGATTGAATCTCGGTCTAAATATTGCGGATCGGCCAGAGCGAGACCGCGTATGTGAGGCCAGGTGACGCTGGCTCGCACGATGGGCCCCTGGTACGAGGAGAGATGCGGCAGGACGTACGCCTGGACGGGGAGCGTTGCTCCAGTTATTGCCGAGGAGAGCGCCAAAGACAGCCGTCCGCGGGTTGCTCCAGAGGCTCCTCCGATCCCGGCTATCGTCATCGAGGAGCGGATCCGCGGCAGGCGCAATCGTTGTGCCAGGGCCTCTGAGACTAGAGAGACCTCTGATCCTTGGTCGATCAGTGCTCGGATGTCGTGCGGTCTTCCCACGTGGTCCTTGATAGTGACCCGTTCGGTGGCAAGAAGAATCGCCTTGCGGTCTGATGCGAAGCGTGTGGTGGACAAGGAAATCGCACCATCAGATTGCGAGTATGCGTCGTGCAGAAGTGTGTGGTGGCGTGCTTTGCAAGTGAAGCAAGTTTTCGACGACTGACATTTTGCCAGGTAATGGTTGCCGAGGCAGTTGAAGCACAATCTGTTTGCTTCTACTAGGCCTTTTCGCTCGGCAGCGGTCTTGGCCTTGAACGTCGAGCATTGCATAATCGAATGCTTTTCTTTACAGGCGGCGCACGTTGACGAACCGGATGCGCGTTTTACAAAGTGCGACCTTGCGGACCGAGAAGTGTCTCCGGATTTCGCGGCAGTGGTTGGCTGCACGGCGTTCAGCGTGAGGATCTGCTTCGCTATGAAGTCCATGAGGACGTCGTTGCTTGGCGGGTCGACGGAATCGCGGATCGAGGACTCCCACTGCATTCGAGTCTGTGCGTCAAAGCGCTCGACGAGCAGGTTGTAACGATGCATTCCGGTGCATCGTTACGATTCCCGGCATAACATCCGCCGGAAGCTGCCGCCCGGCAGAACACCCGCCGGGCAGAGGCAGGGGCGCGGTGCGCCCACCTTTTTAAAACTGCCGAAAATCAAAATTCGGCCGAACATCGCCGAACAGAGTCGATGTGGCCCGAACCGTCGACCGGCGAAAGCCCGCGTTCGGCTCCTACCCGAATCCCTCCGAACGGGCCCGACCGTACCGTTTTCCGAAAACCCGTTCGGAAGGGGTTATACCATCACGCGCCGACGCGGGCAATTAGCCCGTATAAAAAGGGCCACATTTTGACTCTAAACACATCTCTCCGATCCGCTTGAAGCAGTATGCTTCCAAAGAGCAATCCTTGGGAAATCCTACCAAACGCACAGAAAGAGCTGAAGACAGAGGTGGAGCGTGCTCCGTCTCCGAACGAGAGTTCTCGATTCTGACGCCAAAAGTGCAATCCGCCTAATCCGCAGCTGCAACCCTCACGGAAGGTGGAGCTTGAGCCGCCCCGGATCGGGAGTTACCGATCCAGCTGCATCGCGCAATCCATTCTTCGCGAATAAAAACCAGGGTTATACGCACCGAACATCGTTGCATGCATCACATGCAATTACGTGAGCGCATCTAAAAAACGGACGCGTAAACACCGCCGCGTTCAAGCGCATAGGCGATTTATACGCGGACTTTAAATCGCGAAATAAATATTACGGCGAAAATCATCGTCGATTCCGAGAACCGAGGCATTCTCGGAATCTCGGGATTCCCCGCAGAAAAAGCGCCGCAAAAACGCGCGCCGTCTCGCGCAATAGTAAACACCCGCCGGCGTGCGACAGCGAGGCCGAAATTAATCCGCATTAATATTCGGTTTAATTACGCAAACCACGCAATCTGTATACGAACTTTTATGATCACGCACACGCTCACACACTCGTCTACACATTTACACACTCCGACTCTGTACACACTTTCATACAAACGCAATAAACGCAATTATACCACACACACCGCGTATTTCATTTAAAGACACCTAGCACCGGCGATCTATCCGCGCTAAGAAAAACGTCCGGAAATACGACCGTTACAAGGTAATTGAAGAGGTCCATATCGTGCATGCCGATGGGCCTTTCAATGCTCTCCTGCGCATTGATGGCAGTCGTGGCGGCGTTATAAATGCGATTCAACTCGTCAGCGGTCGCGTTCTTCATTTTAGGTACAGCGGTGTAGGCAGCGAAGTTAGCGCGAATGAGCTCTCGCTTGTTCTCGTAATGAGAACTTAAAATTGACCACGCCCTGTCATAATTGCCCCCGACAATCGGCAATGATCGAATTAGTTTTTCCGCAGGACCCTGTAAGCTCGTACGGAGATAGTGGAGCTTTTCCACGTCGGAAATGGATGTATTGCTCCCGACGATGGACAGGAAGATGTCGCGAAACGCGGGCCAATCACTGTATGCACCGGAGAACGACTGGAGCTTAATTCGCGGCAGCGAGGTCTTGAGCGTCTGCTCTTGGTGAGCCTCGACCTTGGGCGTGGTGGACGACTCGCCCTTGAGTTTGTGCGCGTATTCGACCAGCGTGCTCCTTTGTGTCACGTAGGTAGTTTCCGCGATATCGATAAAATCATTCTTTGCGTACTCACTCTCAAGATATTTGTCTTTCAGCGCCGCTACAATGAGGTCATGATGGGTCTCGAATCTGGTCCACAGCGTGTCGAGAATGCGGAGGCGAGCCTGAATCGCTTCGGCGGTGATGCTCGAGACGCCCATCTTGCGCAGATTGTCCACGGAGCGAGACATTCGTCCGTGGATGTCGTTCTGCGCCTCCAACAGTGCCTTTAGATCTGCACTCATGATCACTTTTCAGTTTCAGATTCACGCACTATGTCACAAAGTTCACCCACGAACTGCGGATGCGGATAAAAAAAATCCGGCTCGAAGGACCAGAAAATGTTCGCGAATGAGTTATTCGAGACGATAAGCGCGACAGAAAAGGTCTTGGACTCGGACACTGCACAATTGAGAAAAAACAAGCCACGACACGTATGATTTTTTTGGACTTTTGATAGTTTTATTTTCAACACCACACGATAAATAAAGTTTTACACAAAATATATATATATTTCAGAACTCGAAAAATATTGCCGAAATTGGTTCAAGTCCGTAATCGAGAGGAAAGTCCGAGTGAAAAAAGCGGTCGAATAATACTGCGGTTTGCGAAGCGATAAGTGCGGTTTAGCGAAAAGTGCGGTTTAGCGAAAAGTGCGAGACTTCGTCGTGTCCTCGCGCGGTGCTCGTTATATACCGGGCAGATTTTTGGACCCGTATCGACGTGGCCCAATTAACTTTGTATTTTGGCGGTGACCTCAGGGCGCCGCGCGTCATTGGCCGCTGATGAGGTCTACCGCTGACAATGAGTTAATTGTCATGCGCGCGATCTTTTTAGATCAGCTGATTGGTGATCAGCTGATCGTGACGCGTGGGCGCGCATGCCCGTAAACTGTACAGTTTTCGGCGACCGTTGACACTGTTATTGTCAACGGCGGAGACAAACGTTTTTTGCGGTGGCAATAAAATAGAGATAACTCGAACGATCGGTTTTTTCTCTATAAATAGAAACGTCGAGAAGATTCCCGACGTCCGTTAATTTGGAAAATTTCGGTTTTTCGGTAATAATGAGCTGAGATGATATGCATGCGACATATGAATTTCAAACAATTGTAATAATATAAAGTTACATGAAACTAATCACTCAGTCATTAGCAAACATAGATTAGAATCGGGACATGATTTTGACTGGTCGAAACCCAATATTTTGCATAGCGAAAAGTATGTTCGAAAGAGAGAGATCGCTGAGATGTTCTTTATCAAGAGATTTAATAATCTAATCAACCTACAGAAAGACACGGATAGTTTAAACAACATTTATGACAAAATAATAAAGGTCACGTAGTTTCGTTTTTCCTCTGGTTGTGTTTAGTTTCTTGACGAAGTCTCACACGGACGCATCAGTTTCTCTCAAATTCGAATCTAGTTAAATAACGTTTTTGTTAATGTGACTTGTGCAGTTTTGCAAGATTATCGTCTATGCCTGTCTCCTGATTATTATTACATCGGTAAAATTGATCACACTTTATTTCGTTGTGCTTGTTATATTAATCAAACCGTAAATTAATTGTTAAATTTATTTATAAATCTTTCCAGTATATACTTGATAAGGACCACAACCATATGGTCGAAACGTCGTATTAATAAACAAATTTCTGGCTAATTTGGTCGACTACATTTTTTTCAACGATTCTTTATTTATTATTATTATTTATTCAGATATTACGCTTGTACAAAACATCTTGGCTATCTAACGGACACCATATTTGCAGAAAGCAAGAATATGAAAAACATGTTGTGTGTGTGTGTGTGTGTGTGTGTGTGTGTGTGTGTGTGTGTGAGTGTGAGTGTGTCTGTCTGTCTAACAGACACCATACTTGTAAAATATAATGAAATAATGGAATGTGGTATAATAGGGCTCCAGGCGAAGGTCCACATAAAAAACCCAACGCGCCATTGGTGATACCTCATGGGTGATGTGGAAAATCGCACTATTTTTCTTAATTTCATATTTTAAATGTATAAAAAAGTTAATTATATTTAATATATTATAAAACGTGTGTGTGTGTGTGTGTATATATATGTAACATATATATATATATATATATATATATATATATATATATTATAAATATATTATATGTTTATGTATATACATATTTATATATATTTGTAACAAAAATAAAAAACATAAAGAAAAGCTGTGAAAGAGAAACATTGAAATATCGAAGAGCGAGGCTCGCTCAGCAGCGTTCCGCGTCGCGCGTCGCCCGTCGTTTTCGTTGCTTGCTTGGTAAGAAGGAGACAGAAAACTGTATTCTGTCCTCTTCTTTTAGCCGAAGCTCGCCGAAGCGCCGAGCTCACACGTACGCTTACGCATACATTTCCGTTACCCTCTTCACTACGCGTGGCATGTTGCTTGCGGAGATAATCTTGCATCCCTGGGGGTAGGTAGGGCGAGGAGAGCCGTTCGCCGTCGAGTGGGTAAACGGAGGGTCGTGACGTCACGCGGAGGGGGGATGGCGAGGGGGCCGCGGGGCAAGGGGGAGCGAGCGGGAGAGGGAGAGAGCGCACGCGCGCGTCCCTGGTTACGGCGCGCGCGATAAGCGACTGCGGGCGCTTTTGCCGGCTCGTGTCGTTTCGACGCGCGAATAGAGATAAAGTTATATATATCGATGTTAATAATAAAGTTATATATATCGACATATCGACGTTAATAATATAGTGAATGTATTCGACGTGAGCCTAGAAGAGATATAATATAGAATATATAATATATAATACGATGTATATCAGATTTATTTCGAGGAGGAGGAAATTCGTCGCAAATCGAGGAAAGACGAGGGTGACGTAAATCGAGGAGAGAGAGAGAGAGAATAAATTACATGTAAAATTTTTTATTATATCATAAAGTTACATTCGTAGATACATACGTCGAGAATAATATTGGTATTCGCGATCGTTCCGTTCGAGCGCAGTTATATAAGGGGTAGATATAAGGTTCGAGATCGATATCGCGATCGCGATACATTTATTCGTCGCGCGTAGAGTTTTACAAATTGTAATAGAGTCCGAATAGCAGAGCGTGTAATTCGCAGTCGATCAGATCGTTCGCGTTGAAGTACTCGTGTCGACGAATCGCGTCCGGAATATCGCCGGGGTGGTCGGTCTCCGTCGCGATATCTAGAAAACGCGATAACTTGGCGTCTACGGTCTCGAATATGCTGGTCAACGACGTGATGATACGATTCACGGATAGCTCGAGAACGAACAGCGCCTTCACGGTGGAGTGCGACAAAGCGATGCAACTCTTCGGCGTCTCGAATCGCAACGTCTTTAGATTGTTTATCTTGCCGAATCGAAGCGTTCCGACGATTATGAACGTC